AGAAATTGCATACAAAACTACAAGCGTTGTGAATGTAGAAAACAAAGATGAGATGTGTTTTGTCTATAGCATTTTAGCCAAACTGTTTCCCACTCCGCATCATCCAACACGAGTGAAGCATTATCAACCTTTTGTGAACAGATTGAATTTGGATGGGTTTACTTTTCCGATGACACTCAAACAAATCCCACGGTTTGAACAAGTCAATCAGTTGAGTATCAATGTGTATGACTTCAAAGATAAAACTCTCCATCCACTTTACATCAGCAACGTATCCAACATAGAACCAGACAGACAAATTGATTTGTTGATGCTTTCACAAGAGAACGAGGCCGAAGATTTCGAAGGATTCTTAGGCTTAGAGGGTCATGAACTTATGGATGTAGAAACGAAAGCAGACACCCATTTTTGTTTGATCACTAAGTTGATTTTTTTTGTCAAAAACCCTGAGAAAAAACGTAGTAACCAGTATCATATTTGTAGAAAATGTTTGTGGACATACAGCTCACAAGAAAGGTTGAATAAGCACAAGGGGTATTGTTTTGTTAAGGCCCAACGTGTCAATATGCCTAAACCCGAGAAAGCAGTCTATCAGTTTGGTTTACGATCAGAAGCTAAAACAGAAAGAGCTAAATTTCTTATTGTGGCCGATTTTGAAAGTTTGCTGTTGCCAGTCGAAAATCATGCTTCACGTTTGAACAGACATGTTCCTTGTGCCTATGCTTACAAAGTTGTTTGTACGGAGGAGCGGTATTCGAAATCTGTTCAAACCTATGTAGGTTCAGATGCAGCAGAACACTTTATTCAAGACATTTTAAGAGAATATGATGAAATTAAGGAGATCTTTGCCAATGTTGTTCCCATGCAATTATCTCATCAGGATAGGGCAACCATAGCAAACACAACTCAGTGTGGATTATGTGGAAAAGAGTTAGGGAAAGACAGGGTGTTAGATCATGACCATCTCAGCGGTGCAAGTATTACACAACAAGTGTAACCTAAATTTCCAGTTGCAAAAGAAAGTGTATCTTATGTTGCACAATTCAGAGCATTACGATACGCATCTTATTCTTGAAGCAGCGCGGGAATTTGGAGAGAGAAGTATTCAGATCATACCCCATCTAGTCAGATGTGAACACTGTATCAAACCAAAAGACAGCTAAAGGAATAAAGAAATCTGTCATTGCCAAGCAATTGACCCATAAGAAATACAAAGACAGTCTCCTGGAGAGGAAACCTTTTTATTGTTCCTATTCACTCATTCGCTCTCACAATAACACTTTATACACTGAGTCATTGAGCAAAATAGCATTATCCCCCTTAGATGATAAACGTTATGTACTAGAGGATGGCATACATAGTTTACCCTATGGGTATTCACCAGTCTAAGAGTATGTGGTAATGCTGTTCAAGTTCCACATTTCAGAGATGGGTGATTGATACAGGTACCCTCCTCCTTTTTTGCTGAATGTTATCCATTTTAATTTAACAATAATAATTCTAATAACAATAGTAATAATTGCTGTTATCATCACACTTAAAGTGTTTCACTCATTTAATTATCTTTATGATTACAGCAACATGAGTACCACCGGATTCATTTACCAGTTAAGACAAAACGGCAGCAATGACATAGTGTATTATGAAGGCAGAAGCTTCCGAAGAAGCCATGAGGGTGCCATGCAGGCAGGTTTACAGCGTGCAAGAAGAATGTTCCAACAAGTGGAGAATCGTCAAACAGCCAACTATTCAGTAACTGTGCGTGAAATTCACATCAACAGGAGACAAATAACCAATTGCTTACAGCTGCGTCGAAACAGACGACTTTTCGTAGGCGTCTTGGAGTCTCACTATCTCAATGAACTCCAGAGACTTGTTCGGAAGTTATGTTGTGATAATTGTTATGGATGTGAAGTTAATCATCCATCGCAAGTACATCACCAGTGTCTCATGATGAACAGTGACGAGTGTATTACTCAATACTTTGATCGTGCAGTGAATGAGCTGCCCCTTCATACCATCTTGGAAAAAGCCAAGCAACAGAGGGTAAGCCTTGGGCTAGAGTTTCAGGACCAGCACACTGTGCGTTACAATGACTCTGATTATATGCATAGGCATTTCTTCTGTGATGACAGAAAAGAAAGACTTGAGATGCAGCTCAGAGTCCTCATGAACATGGAAGATAGTAATAATTAAAGACGCATGTGTTAGCATTATTTTATTGCTTTACAATCAGAAAGTTACATAGAATACATGTCATGAATTCAAAGTGCATGTACAGTTAGAAAGACTCTAGTTTTCTTAATTTTGTATTAGTGTTCGCACCGGGCACACCATGTTGTGCTTGTCGTTTTAGATATAAAGATGATTTTGCCTTCTTTCTTTTGTCGTTCTTTTTCTTTGCATCTGGCTTATACAAAAGCCGCTTTGGTACATGGAGCATTTTTAAAAGTTTGAGAAAGTCATGGTAGCCTGTAGGAACAGCCCCACGACGCATCACAGTAAAACGAATGAGGTCAATAACGTTAGTTCCGATCCACACATTCTCATTATCTAACACAATTTCTAACTGATCATTCAGTCTGAAGTGAGCGTTTCTGATCTGATCCCTGATAAAGTACCATAGTTTGGTGAGTTTGCCAATCGTTTTAGTTAATGACACATCCTTAAGAAGTAGATCCAGAATCAAGTTCGTATTCCCTTTAATCTGTGCTTCATCATGGGTGATTTCTTCAGGGGTCTCATTCAGTCTCAGAGGACTCGTCTCCCGATCCGGAGTCACTGTCATTATCTGTAGTTGTTGTTGTTCCTGAGTCACTGTCTTCTCCTTTTCCTGGTTGTCTATCAGGCGTTGGTATGTGTTCCTGTTCAGGAGAACCATAGGTCTGCTTATGATGTAGGTAATCTAACAGTGCAGCAGTGCAAATAGGCAAGATCGAATGATGTCTTATCAACACCTCCTTTTTAATCCGATTGGGAAAACCTTCTTTGGCAGCCAATGTTCTAATGTGAAACCTATGACGGTGCAAGCGAGTTTTATCCATCAGTGAGAGGGGAATATTCCCTTTCAAAATGTTTAACATCATGCTATTAATAGCATACATTTGTTCACATGACACATATTGAAGTAAAGCTTTTCTCTGCTTCACATTAGCCTGCAGTAGTGTCTGAAGAAAAGACAGATGTTTTTCCAGTAAATCACCCATAATGATGTGAAGAGATCACGATGTGAAATGATCCAACTAGGTTCTTGTGACTTTTATATATGTATGCTTAGACCCTAATATTCCTCATACACCATAGCCGATGTCTCTCATTCGGTATTAGAAGCTATCATGCTTATGTAACTACACTGAGGTGATAACCTGAAATGTTCAGTTAGTGGTTCATCTTCTGGCATCCATTTATGTACACGCAATCGACACATGAAACAGTAGACTTTATCTGATTGACCCGTGTAAATGAAACCTGCTTGTGCCATAGTCTTCAGAGACTGTTTCATTTGCACGGGCCAACTGGCGAAGGACTTTAATCTCTCACAAAAGCTATGCCCATACACTTCAGCATTGGTTGAAATCACTGAACAATCATTAGCAATATCTTCAAATCGTCCGCAAACATCCATGATGACCTCAGTAAGCAACTGATCTGTTCATTGGTAAGACGGGCAACTGGTGGGTATAACTTTCAGCAGTAGCTTTTATTTGGGTTGGTACACAATACATACTTCATCTGGAAAGACACCACTGCGCAGACGCCCATACTGAGGATCGGAATAGGGTGATACGTCAATCATTAAATATTGAATTTTTTTTCCCTCCACTGCGTCACGAAATGATTCAGTAAAATATTTGGCTTGTCCCGGAAATATTTGAGATGCCAAGATTTTATATTCATGTGCAGAACGTGGGTTAGATAGCAAAATGAAGTAGTGTGTATTCAAGGAAATAGTTCGGTTACAATCCCCCTTAGGATAAGCAGACTGTTGAATATTTATAACACTGATTCCCCAATGATGAGACAATGTAGTGTAGAGATTTAACATCAGTGGACTTTTACATATATCCATCATCATGTCATCCATGACCAACACCATGTTCTTTTCAGATTGCTCAGACCACATTTTCAAATCATTCTCAGTTGGAAGGGAATCCATAAAAAGAATGTTAGAAATGTTTTGCTGCATGTCACTGTAGATGTCTTGCCATACGGCATAGCAGTACACAATAAGGTTGGGAAGTTTGTCAAACATCAGATTAGTTTGCTCTTACAACCTTTTCACCCAAACTGTTTTCCCTGAGGAAGATCCACCAATCACAGATATGGTGGTAGGTGTTTGTATTGGTAAGAGACACTTACGTTCCATGATCTCACTCTGAGCACAATAATTCAACTGTGACAATACAGCTGAGTTACTTATATTTATAGAACAAACTCGAATGACTACACTAATTTTTTTATTTCATTTTTTTAATGGGTTACACAAGTACAGTAGTATGTTACATGACACAGGTATGACAAGATAAAAAAACAATATCTAAAATAATTACAGATAAACTTTGACACATGCTCATCATTGTTAAAACGGACTTGCACATCAAATATCTGCACAAGGGTTTGAAGGGTAAGTTCTGTTTTGCATTTATACAACAAATAATATAAACAATAATGACCACAAAGGTTGGATGATGAGGACTGTAACTGTCTTCTGTTGTGCTGGTATTGATTGACATAGGTTTTTAAGTACAAGTCAAAAACGGAATTCACTGGCTCACCCAGACTGTCAAACAGTTCCCCTGTATTTCCTTTGAAGTACATAGCCACCCAGTGACGACCCGGTCTTCCAGATGGTTCAGTATTGACAATGAGACCCACTCCACGTGCAAGCATGACTCTAGTTAGCACAGGTAAAGTATCTTTGGCAAACACACCTAAGACATGGTACTTTAAGATGGAGTCGCTTTGAATAGCACATGCAAGGTCAGAGGCTTTCATGTTTTTTACTTCACAAACACGTGCCTGGTCTTGTCAATTTCGATGAGGGAATTTCTTTCACTCAGAACAACACAACTGAGTGTTTCGGTGAGAGCGGATTTGAACTCGATTTCTAGTCGGGTGCTACCGGATTTCAACAGATTCAGATAGTCGGATTCACTGCATACTTTATCAATGTCGAAGACGAACAGGGCACTCCTGAGCAAAAAGTCACTCCGAGTGATTCCGTTTCCTGTATTTTCTTTCCACAGACACATCCCATCGAACATCTGCACATAGGACTCAACGTCATCTGCCTGCATGGGACGTCCGGGGACACTGGCACCATTGATGTACAGGCTGATGTTTTTCACCTTACTAGATTGGAAGTTGTAGGGGTTACCAGTGTAAGATCCATTCAAGCTGTTGCTGAGTACAAAGCCTACGATGTAACGATAAGCAATAGGATTCGACAGATTGTCAATGGTATGTGTCAGTTGAGTGGTGGGGATGCTTGTCACCGTGACCTCACTTTTGGTGTAAGGATACAAAGCATTGCTGTCTTGAAACAAGGTGTTGTGTGCCAAAATAAGAGCTGGATTGACTTTCAGTTTACACACCTTCAGGTAGGTATCCGGAATTTCCACCTTGTAATCTTGACCTGTTTTGCCACTCATCAAACAGAACTGGGGCGAGGAGCGGTACAGCTTCACTGTCAAATCCACTCCATTGACCAAATATCTGTTCATGTGAAAGATATCTTCATACAATGGCCCCTACATGGTCAAGACTTTACTAGTATTAATGAAACCGCCACGAGATTGCACTCCTGTATTGAGACCAGTGTAGGGATCAGTCGATTCGACATCATTGTTGGATTCAGACACATCTTTGTAGAAGAGTTGAGATGACAGCTGTGAAGTTTTAGCTTCTGTTCCATAGTTGAGTAGACTTTTCATCATGCTCTTGTAAGCATAATGGTTGTTTGTAGAAGATACCAACTGATTCTGCAGGTACACTGACACCTGGGAAAAGAGGACCTGCAGAAACAAGTTGACAGGGACAATATGTTCCTTGTCAACAAGATCAGTGCCATCTGCATGTTTCACCTTCAGCTTCACATGTAGGCGGGTACGGTTCAGGTCAATGTAATCACTTCCAGCATTCATTACTTGAAATTCCAACGGTGAAGAATCATTGATTTGGCTGAGTGGTCGCACTTCATCAAAATAATGTTGATGGATGCTGGTCTGGTATGGTGGTAAAATAAAAAGATTGAGAGAGGGCGGTATCAGTTCCTCAAAGTCTTTATCATTCAATAGTGACATGATTAACTGAAAACGTCGTTTTCTCGAACAGGGGTACACTGGAGAACCTTAACGGTCTTGGATGGAATGTTATCTGTCTGACGGATCTTCTTTGAAGTGGTGATTCGATCACCTGCAGCTCGTTTTAAAGATTTCCGTCTCTTTTCTTTGGCATTGGCTCTCTCAACAATATTCTGCGTCTCTGATGTCACTTCCAGTTTGATCTTGGGTTCTTTGGTCTTCACTTGAAGTAGTGTCGGGATCACTTTCACCTGTGGTTTACCATTCACTAAGGCAGATGTTCCTTTCATGTGTTTCTTGAAATAGTGGGTCCATTTGACATAATCGGGAACATACAAAGGTGTGGACTCCATGGTTAATCAACGAAGGGATACCGTCTCAAGTGCAGTGTCACATATGTCACATCCTTTAGAAATGAGGGTGACATGCCGTTACTGGCCTTTATACGCACCTCTATGTGTGGAGATTCTTTGACTTTAACCGGAATATTGTATTCATAGGCAAAGCTATAGTAAGGACCTTGTCTGAGATCAAGCCGTCTCAATAAAGGCAACTGCTGTTCACCTGCCAAAGAACTATCACACAGATTGCATAACATGTCCACATATGGATCATTCATGTGGGTGATGTCAAGTTTACCAAAATTAATCTCCGTTAAAGACACAACCCAGAATCCATCAAAATTCAACCTTTGATTTAGTTTGACACGAAAATGATAAGGGGTATTCTCGTTAAAATAAGATTGTTTGGAGTCTGAGCTTTTGGGAAATATGTACCTTTCCATCAGATATCTTTCAGTTCACTTTCCTCCACATAAGAATCGAAGCAACTCGGCCAGCCCAACCACCTCACTAACAGGTAGGTCTTCCCTTTCACACGTTTTCTCTTTAAAATCTCTACCTGCCACAAGACATTTTCCTTTTTCTCCACCTTTTGTAGCTCGTTGGCATAAAACGTACCTTCTATCAGTTTATCGTGAAAGTCTTTGATCTTATACTGTGCTATCTCTTGTCTCTTGTATCGCCTAGCCACCTTAAACAGCTCCTGAGTCCACTTCAGATCAAGTTCCTTACTGAAAGGTCTCCGGAGGTATGGAATGCGAACAAGATCCCCTACTTTAAATACAAATGACTTTGACCTGTTGTGTTTGAAGCTTTTTTTAAGTAACAACGGCTTCACATACAAATGTTCCCATACTTTCATTCTTCTTCTTGACTTGAACTGGAGAAAGGTTGGGCAAAGAAGAATGTAAGGTGTTGTTATAATTGTCCATCATCTTGGGCAGTGCATCTAAATAATACTTGGTGTTATTATGGGTCAAGTAACGCGTAATAAGTGATTTAGTGTTCTGTTGAATCGTTCCACATAATTACTTTTGATATTTTCGTTATGTGCAACAGTCAGAGTGATATTGTGTTTTTTCTAAAAAATCTTTAAATACTCCTTTAAACTCTGAACCACCATCCACACGCACTTTCATTAAATTTCGTTCCTGAATTATTTCTTTGAAAGCTTTCAGTACTGTCTCTGGTCTCTTATTTGTTAAAGGGAGCGCGAAAGCAAACCTACTCAGTATGTCAATAGCCACCAGTAAATAACGCACGCCATTATTCTCCTTGCTGTAACGAGTCATGTCGGTCAAATCTACATGAAACATTTCATTTATAGAATTCACCCGAACTCTCAGCCTTTTGAATCTCTGTTTGGGTGGCTTGTGTAAACTGTAGGCGTCCTGTTTGTTCAGAAAACGTTTGACAGTGCTCAGTCTGAGATCTGGTTGACAAGCTAATTTCAGAACGCTATGAAGTTTCTCAGGACCATAAAAAGCCCCCGGTTCAAGCGGGTTAAAATAGTAACTTTCTTACATCTTCTCCTGTTTCTTTGTTACCACCTTTCTCTGTTGTGGCTTCATGTTGAAATGAGAGAAGCTCTGACAACAGACATCTATTAAAGAACAACCATTTGATAACTATCAAAAGAAGACAAACAAAGATGTAAGCATAATTTATGTTTTATTCATAGTATGGACATTGCTAAAGTACACACACACATTTCATTTGGTACTGATAGAATAATATGACATGGAAACAGTCTACAAGCGTTTTTGCAACTTCAACATTTTTACAACGCATTGCTTCAAACCATTCACCCATTCGTGTGATTTGAATGTATTGTCACGATAGTCCTTACACTGGTAAGGTACTAAATGGAAAGCAGGCATTGTGCACAGATCTGGATCATCAGTCACAAGTTTCATCCATTTTCCTATTACCAGTTCATTGTCCGCATCCTCAAGTGCCGCATTGAAGCATTTATCCACCTGCTCCTGCTCCGTCATGCGACAAGAATGTTCTCCCAAAAAGATTGGATCACCTTCTTCATTAAACAGACAAGGAATACACATTTCTCACACGAGCTGGCTGATCGTTTTACTCACTTCTAAAGAGTAACTCAACGTGAGAAGATCCTCTGCATGTTTCAGTTTTGTAGCCATATCCACTTCATCAGCGTTGAGTGGTAAGGTTTTCATCTTCTTGATAATGACTCTCTTTGTTGTCTTGCATTCGTCTTTAAATTTTCTCTTTGCATCTTTCGCGCATTCTTCCCTATCTTGAAACCACTCAGGCGATCTTGTTATGACTGGCTCATTTAGAGTGTGTGGCATCCTCATGACCTGCTTCCACGAGTAGAATGTAGTTTTCTTGCCTCTGTTCAAAATAGCAAGTTACATCAATGTAACACATTTAAAGTCATAAGTTTTCACTTGGCTCTGTGTTCATTATTTCATTTCTAACCATCATTAAGATCTGACCAAGTCTATTACTGCCTTTCCATTTAGATGGATTAAGAATATTAGGGTCATGCAGTGATAGACCCACACCCCACACACGATCATACGGACTCGCTTCTACCAAGATCTTGGGAAAAGTGTCTTACAGTTGTTTCTTCAGAAAAAACAGACTGTATGAATTTAGCTGCATACACCACATTGGAACTCACAGCATCCCATTGGCGTTGATTAAAACATCTCACACTTCTACCTAAACGTTTTTGTTCGGTGGCAGAAACACACTTTAAAATCTTATGCGCAGTTTCCCAATCTCTGAACATACAAGCTTTTTATACATGTAATACTGCTCTGCACAGTTAAATGCTGTTCCTTCGATAACAATCTCAGTAGAAAAATGTTGACTAAACACTGAAGTTCTGGTGTAAAAAAATACATACTTGTCAGTTGTTCGGGTTCCCATGATCAGATTCAAGATGTATACTGGCGTGAAGATTTCGTCTTGTTGACAAGATCGCTGTTTAAGCTCGAATGAAAGCTTCAACAGTTAAACACTGCTTAACTTCTATAAAGTTGAATTTCATTAGTGTACTTTGACTTCCTTTAGCGTTTCATTGGTTACTGAGTATTCATCGCACCATACATTCTATTAGTGGTTGAAACGTTGATCCTGGAATTTTTATTAGTAACTTCTATTGTGTGAAAGGTATTGACTGGCCTCTGTGGTATGCTTCACAAGAATGCTTTTGTTTGTTTCTTTACTCTACGCTCCATAGGAATGCTGCTCCACAGGAATGCTTTTGTTGGAAATTCGACGCTCCACATGAATGCTTTTGTTGGAAATTCGACGCTCCACAGGAATGCTGCTTCACAGGAATGCTGCTTCACAGGAATGCTTTAGTTGGAAATTCGACGCTCAATAGGAATGCTGCTTCACAGGAATGCTTTTGTTGGAAATTCGACGCTCCACAGGAATGCTGCTTCACAGGAATGCTTTTGTTGGAAATTCGACGCTCCAGAGGAATGCTTTGGTTGGAAATTCGACGCTACACAGGAATGCTTTTGTTGGAAATTCGACGCTCCACAGGATTTTTTTTGTTGGAAATTCCACGCTTCACAGGAATGCTTTTGTTGGAAATTCCACGCACCACAGGAATGCTTTTGTTGGAAATTCTACGCTCCACAGGAATGCTTTTGTTGGAAATTCCACGCTTCAAAGGAATGCTTTTGTTGGAAATTCCTTGCTCCACAGGAATGCTTTTGTTGGAAATTCCACGCTCCACAGGACTGCTTTTGTCCGGAAGGTAACAGGAATGCTTTTGTTGGAAATTCTATGCTCCCCAGGAATGCATTTGTTGGAAATTCTATGCTCCCCGGGAATGCTTTTGTTGGAAATTCTATGCTCCACAGGAATTTGTTGAAAATTCTATGCTCCACAGGAATTCTTTTGTTGGTACTCCACGCTCCACAGGAATGCTTTTGTCCGGAAGGTATTACTTTCTATCTACTCACGCTGGCTGGTCTTGATGTGACGTGAGATGGGAGAGGCATGCTCCTGCCCCCTTATATAGTCACTTCTGGAAGGTTCTGTTCAATGTTGGATTAGTCTGTTGTTCCAGGTAAAAGCTGACTC